AATGAGCTTCAACATTGCCTGAACATACGGCGTCTAGCAAGTTATCATTGAGGTACTCGAATAGTTCATTCTACATTCATTTCATCTTTGATTAAACCAAGCGGAACCCGGAAGCAAATTGTTTATGGATGCATCCTAACCATTAACTTGATGTAACCACCCAAAGATGACATAGCAATGAACTACTGAAATAGTGTCTCAATGGCTTATTTTGAAAAAAAGGCGATCGAAGTTTGCACTTTGACCTCGATTTTCTCGAAAACTGTCGATCGGAGAAAATTTTTAATGTCACTAATGGATTCAGTTTTTATGGGCCTACAAACTTATAAAGTTCGAACTCTTATCTCGAAAGTCAGAATTTTTACCCATACTCCTTTAAATTAATCTCGTTGAAATCTGATCTAACGTTGTTGATCTGATGTTACTTTTTCTCTTTACTGACATTGGGAATCGATTATACTGTTAAAATCTCTGTTGATCTCTTGAACTTGAAATGGATATGAACATCGTTAGATTTTAAACAAATTTTTATTGAAAATTAAAATTCCGATTTGACAAAAGCGATAGATTGAATTGAAATTGTGTGAATCGGTGATTCAATCTTCACTAGAGATTGAGAAAATAGGAGAGCTCACAAGAAAGCAATGTTTCATGAAATCGAAACCTTGACCTATTATTTTATATTTAATTCTGTTTCGAGTTATATTCTTGATACATATTGTGAATAAATATTGTGTATTGAATATATCTATAGATAAATGGTTGAATTTAATTATTTAGTCCTCACTGGGAATCAAGAAAGTAGGAAGATCATAGAAATCTTTAAGAAAACAATGTTTCATGAAATCAAAACCTTGACTGATTATTTCACGTCTAGATGATAAATGAGGCCAATCTGATTTAATTTTACGGTGATTCCCATCAAAATAAAATTTTATGGTCCGTTTATATAGTCTATTATAATTTTGAATATTAACAGCAGCCTTTCGAGTGACTTTTGGACAACCACTAACATCGAATAACACTAAATTGGGTAAAATGGTAACCAACTGCTCAACATGTTCATTGGTCAGCCTATTCCAACTCCTCAGTGCGAGATGTTTAAGATTTGGATATTTCATGAACAATCTTTTAAATTCATCCCAGTTGATACTATCTGTATAGTATTGCTCATACTGTGCATTAATTAACACAAAAATTAGATGATTAATATAGATGAATTTAGATAATTTTTGATGATCAAATTTTCTTCTCATCATCAAATTTTCAAGAATATCTCATAAATAAATTTCGAATCAAATAATACTTACAAATTCTATGACTAAATCTTGCAAAGATTCGTGTTTTAATGTTTCATCAACAAAAAAGCGATTATAGTCCAAGAAAATATGAGCACTCTGTAAGTTTGGACATGAATCCATGAACTGGAAACCATAAAAGTGTGGATCATCGTAATGTTTAAGCCAGGTGCAATCCATTGTGAAAAATTCAACCATTTTAAGTCGTTCGAATATGGGGCCATCGTAGTAGCTTCTTGGGCCTGAGGATAAAAGATGAATGTCATTATTAAAAATTTCTTAAAAAAGTATTTAAAAGTCACCTTCTTCTGTATTCAGCGATAATCTTTCGAGATTTGGAAAATAATGTGCATTTGGTCTAAATGATCCAAAGGTATCATGAACAAGGCACAATTGTTTAATATTTACACTATTCTTATTTGTGCATGTCTCGATGAAATCGGTGGATACCATTTCAAGTTGACCACAATATTGGAAAATTGCTTCTTCACTAGGATAAGAGTAATGCTTTAATCCTTTTAATGATTTCATCTTTTTGACCCATGTTACGATATCTTCAGGATTTGATTCTTCACAAAAGCCGGAAGAGAAGTCGACAATCTAAGATAATAAGATATATTACCAGGTACAAAATGAATATTCAGTAAGCAAATAAAAATCATTCAACAAACCTGCAAATCAGGAAATAATGTGCTCAAAAAAGTTACATCCATAGGCCCATCTATTGAATAATAAACATAATCAGATGGATAACTTGGCGGTACATTCTTATTCCACGGACCAGAATGTTCTGAAAATATAAATTGCTTGAATGAGAAGATTTATTTATAATGGGAATAAGTAGTGATAAAAATTTGAGTCTTACCAAACAAATATTTAACTTTTCTAGTTCGCTCTAAAATCAAACGACTCCATTGACTGCATACTGCAATGAAATTTTAAACAAATTACTAAATTTTCTGTTGATTGGCTTAATATACTACAATACCCAGTTAAAGCAATTTTTTTCAAAGTTTCCATCTAGCGATGACTTTCAGAAACTGACAGTGCTTAAGATTTAGGTAATGAAAGGATTATATAAAATTAAAAAAATGTCAATTTGTAAAAAATCATAGACTGTGAAAATTGCTTTAACCGGGTATTGTACTGTACTTATTTAATTGCTTCACTATTAACACATCCTAATCAACGTTAGTAAAAATAAACTTTGATCAGTCAAATTAAAATCCACAGTCGGATGCTACAGCACTGACAATGGATTTTGAGATGTATCAATACATATATGTATAGCTGAATGGCTTTCAACTTGAATCAGATCAGAGTCGCTGATTAAGATGTGTAACTTACTTTTGTTTAAATTATAAAAAGAATAGGGTTTATTTAAAACAGACTTACTTTTATAGCAGTTTACTAAATCATCCAATTCATTTATGAAACCAAAAATGATGAGTAAACATTCCTCTGGAAGTTCACTGATTAACATTGTAAATTCAACTGTTGGACATATAATTGGACAAAAATGAAGTAAACTATTGGTAAAAAAAGTCAAATACACTTCGAATACACTTTAAATGCAATGGCACTATTCTATAAATAATATTTCAAGTTAAGAACAGTTTATGAGGGTGAAAGTCAAAGAGAAAGATATGAAAAGAGTCGACGATTTACAGAAACTAGTGTTGGGTTATGATCAATCGTAAATCGATTTAAATCGACAATCGGCTCCTCTGTTTCAGATCGATCAAAAAAATGAAGAGATCGATTTAACCAGGAATGGCTACTTTAGAATCCTTTGATTAATCAAAAGGCAATAGTTGTTTAATTTTTTGATTTCGACGATTTAAAGATCAGAAGATCTAACATTTTCTGAAATCACGCAATCTAGCATTGAAATATCTAACTATGCAAGCCCCTTCAGTACCGTGTGAACGCTTATTTTCAAAAATTGGATTATTAATCACTGAGCAACGGAACGGATTGAAGCCTAAAAATGTTGAATTGCTATCTTTTCTTGACTCATTGCCTGATATTTACATTTAAACTCGTCTTTTCTTGTACTTTGTCAATTTAATAAACTTACGATCGGACAACCGAACGATCGAACAGTCGATGAAATCGACAAAATCGATTTATCTTTTTTCTATGACCAAGAAAATCGATCAGACTTGAATTGCTTGATCGGCCAACACTAACAGAAACTGTTGAGTAATTTTTGAAATTTTGTACAAGGAAAGGATTGAGATTTGATTCGTTGTTGCGTTGATAGCAAAACACGCCATCTATTGTATTAAAAATAACTCAAATGGTGATCAAAACTCTTTGCCATTGGACACTCAGCCCTAAGAAACCGCTACGAGTACCGTTTTCAGTCATTAATTAGATATGAGCCAATTAAACTAAATTTAAAAGATAGCATTAAGTCAGTGAGTTTATAAGAATCAGAACACTAAAGCATTAAAGCATTCATAAATTGGTCAAAAAAGATTCCGTTCATCGTCTTCAAGATTTTCATTTCTGTTTTCATCACAAATCTTTAAAGTATTTCCATAGGTAAAGTGTTTGTATTGAAGATACTAATAAACTAATGGTTACATTTAATTATTTTAATTTCAAATTATCAGAGAATAAAAACTGTAGTACAATTATTTTTATTGGAAAATGAATCGTTTCAATCAATCTGGCCTCAAGATGCTTCGTTCCCGGTAGAGGCGATAGAACTTTTTACATTGGTTCCAGAAAACATGAGTTTCAGTTCAATGATGGCCACTGGGATGATTGTGGTTTTATTAACATTTATACTGACACCGCAGCTAAATCAAAATATCCCGGAATCTTAAACAGCTTCCAAATAATCCAACTCAATGTTTACATTTTAATTGGTTTCTTGTTCGTCCTAAGAGTTTACATCCATTTAGTTCGTAAGAAAATTTTACCTTGGCCTGTCAGTCAAGCTGTAGTTTCATTTCAATTAGTCATTAAACATCATTTTCGAACATCGTCCGAATCATTCTCTGCATCTGATATCTTTTTATTTTAATTTAAATATGAGTTATAGCGACTTTTTGAAATATTCATTAAGATATTAATATAAGATTTCATGACAGATTTTGACCTTTAGAATGCAAAAACATTTACAATGTACTTGGAGGGCTCAGGATTCAGGATTTTGAATCTTCTTCAATAATTTATTTTTAAGAATATTAATTTTTAATTATCATTAAAAGTTTTGATAAGTTTTGTTAGTAACGTAATATTTCATGAAGAGGTAGGGAAATGCGACATTTTACAAAATGGAAATAAAAACGCACTTAATTCTCAAGCATCAAAAGCGCTGTAACCTCAAAGCACTGTGAATTCACACAAGTACGGCTCCAAATATGACTGATTGAAAATATTGTAGAGACTTATTAAAATACCGATACATGTGTCCGATTCATGGTTATTCAGTCTTCACCAGATACTAAGAAAGTAGAAAGGCTACGAAAACCTTTGAGAAAGCAATTTTTCATGAAATCAAAACCTTGACTAATTTTCTCCCGTTTAGATGATAAATGAGGCCAATCTGATTGAATTTCATGGTAATTCCCATCAAAATAAAATTTGATCGCCCGTCCATGTCGTCTATTATAATCTTGTACATAGTTAACAGCATTTTTAGTGACTTTTGGACATCCACGAACAGCAAGTAACACTAAATTTGGTAATATCCGGACGAATCGCTCAACATATTCATTTTCTAGGCTTTTGTAGCTCCACAGGGCAAGATGTTTAAGATTCGGATATTTCGTAAACAATCTTACCAATTCATTCCAGTTGATATTTTCCTTCCAATAAGGTTCATACTGTGTATATACAGGTTAGTTAATTTTTGTAGATGAATTCAGATACTTTTGTCATGCTGAACATTGATTATTGTTAGCACTCTGGAAATAAATTGTGAAAGTATCTCACAAAAAAGCAAAAACACATTACAAATCGAATAATACTTACAAATTCTATGACTAAATCATGTAAAGATTTGTGTTTAATTGATTCATCAACATAAATGCGATTAGATTCAAAGTAAACATGGGCACTCTGTAAGTTTGGACATGAATCCATGAACTGGAATCCATAATCAATGCTTGTATCAGCATAACAAGTGAAGAACAATTCAAGTTTTTTAAGTCTTCTGAATATGGGACCACCGTAGGGTCCAAATATAAATATACAAATATTTAAATTTTCTGGTTCGCTCTACAATTAATTGGCTCCATTTGTTGCATACTATGAAAAAAATTTTATTAAAATATTAAATAAGTAACATCTTTAAAAGTATGCAGATAGATGTATCTATCATGTAATCTATCACTGCAATCAGCCCATTGTTTCATCAGATGCACATCAGATTCAGATTTTATAGTAAAGAGATTAATTGCTATAGCTAAATGGCTTTTAGCTGGAATCAGATCAACTTCTCTGATTCAGAGGGGTAACTTATAAATAACAGAAAAAGCCTTCCATCATGAATAAAAAGCAAAGTGAATAATCTCGAATCGTGCATGTTTTACATAAGATCATAGAGGAGGCTGCGTATAGTAGAAAGAAGTATTAATTTGTGTAATATTTTTGCAAAAAACTAGTATTCGATAACTCACAAGTAAGAAACAAGCAAGAATTTAACTGAATAATTGCTGCTAAAAGATAGTCCATGAGGCAAAATCATTGATAGACTTTACAAAATCGTGTCTGTGGTGCTAATTTTCAATGATGAAACAAAAAGAGCAAGATTTGTTCAAAACAGACTTACCTTTATAACAGTTCAATAAATCATCAAATTCATTTATTAAATCAAAAATGATGAGCAAGCAATCGTCTGGAAGTTCATTGATAAACATTGTAAAATCTTCAAATGGTAAAATCTACTAATCTCTTTTAAGTGCAGATGCTCTGATCTAGAGATGTATTGATTCCAACAAATATAAAATTCCAACTATGCTTTAACATATAAGTGGGAAAAATTGAAACAAATTAGTGATAAAACACATGAACAGCAATAACACTTGTTTAATGATATTTCAATTAACGAACGAGTTTTGAATGTGAGACTTCAAAATGGAAAAAGAGCTGAAATGAAATCGGATCCGAGATCCGATATTTATCTATCCAACTTCGCTCAAATGAATGATTAGAGACTCTAATTTAGAGTAATTTAATTTAGATTAAAACAGTTTTCGAAATTGACCGTTTGAAAAATGATTGCTACAGAACCAAAACTTAGTCTAAATCTTTTGAACTTGGTTTGAAAAATGGTCTGTTTTGAGAAAAAGTTGCAAATGTTATCCAAACAAAATTTCTGATCGAATCGTGAAATCTTATAAATTTTTGATCATCAAAATGAGAATAATTTACCGATATTTTACGTCCAGCGATTTACTTTTAGTGGAGATGAATGCATCTTTTTGGACTTGTTATTTCATATCGAGGATTTCTGATTAGATATTGACTCTCTTCCTCTCATTCCTGTAATAAGGTTGAAACTTTTAAAGCTCTGATTACAGTAAAACCTCGCAAAGGTTGTGAGCGGTCCTGCCGCCTAGCGATATTGTTTGTGCAACTCTTTGAAGTTATTAACATAATTGCATTGTAAAAGCGGGGAAGATCTTAAATCCCAAAGATTGCGTTGCTAAATTTCATACAAACTTTGCGAGATTTTACTGTATTTTCCTTTTAAAAGTTGAAAAGAGTATAATGTTGACGGAAAATGGATCATTATGACTTGTGTTGAACAATCTTTAATGATACTTACACTGATATCACAATTCCTTAAATATAAATAATAGTGAACACATTTGGTATCATTCAATTTTAAACAGATCGTGATTGTATTTGAGTTCAGATTCGATTAATATGCTTGAAAATTAAGCCTATCGGTTATTAATCTCTTAATTTAAGTAAACAATGAAATAGTGTTAATTGTCCGTATTTTTATTCTATTTTGAGTAATTTCCTGATACATATTGTGAATAAATATTTCTATGTGTATTGAATATATCTATAGATAAATGGTTGCATTTAATTATTTAGTCTTCACTGGGAATCAAGAAAGTAGGAAGATCATAAAAATCTTTAAGAAAACAATGTTTCATGAAATCAAATCCTTGACTTATTATTTCCCACTTAGTGGACAATTGAGGCCAGTCTGAATGAATCTCACGATAATTACCATCAAAATAAAACTTGATTAATCGTCCATGTAATCTATTATAATCTTGGACATAACTAGCAGCCTCCTGGGTGACTTTTATACAACCACGAGCATCAAATAACACTAAATTGGGTAAAATGTTAACCAATTGCAGCACAGTTTCATTTTCCAGGCTAATGAATTCTCTCAGTGCAAGATGTTTAAGATTTGGATACTTCTTGAGCAATTCTTTCAATTGATTCCAGCAGAAATCATCCGAATACTGTGCATATAAAAATTATTTAATTGATATAGTTGAATTTAGATACTTTTGTCATTATGTCATGATACTCTTATTGTGTTTGATTTTGAAATTTTAAAAATATTCCACAACCAAGCAAATACATAAAACACACACTTACAAATTGTAAAACCAAATCTTGCAAAGATTCGTGTTTCATTGATTCATCAACAAAAATGTGATTAGAGTACAATCTAATATGTGCACTTTGTAAGTTTGGACATGAATTAATGAACTTGAAACCATGATAAATGTAATCACTATAAGTATTTAAGGACAGTCCAACTATTTTGAGTCTGCTTAATATGGCACCATTTGTGTAGTAGCCAGCTGGCCAGTCTGAGAATAAAAAGATGAATTTCAATAATAAAAATTACTCCAAAAAGTATTTCTAAGTCACCTTCACTATGAAAAATGAACAGTCTTTCAAGATTTGGAAAATATTCGGCATCTTCCATGAATGTATCTAGACTACACCCCCCAATTTCCAATTGTTTGATGCCGGCACCATTCTTTTTTAAGCACGGCTCAATGTACCATTCGAACCTCGTGGCTACCATTTCGAGTTGATCACAATATTGGAAAATTGATTTATCCCCTTTATAGAATGAGCCAATTATTCCTTTCAAAGATTTTATCTTTTTGACCCATGCAACAATATCTTCATAACCTACTTTTTTACAGAATTTCGTACAAAAGTCGGCAACCTAAGGTAATAAGAAATATAAGAAAATGAAAATTTGGCCAACAATAGAAGTTAAATTATTCGTCAAACCATTAGATTTGGAAATAATGTGTCCAAACAAGTTCCATCAATTGGTTCCTCTGTTTGATAATAAACATGATTCAACGGATAGCTTGGAAATGGCTTCCTATCTGGCCAATCACCTTCATGTTCTGAAAATATAAATTGTTTAAGAGTAAATTTATTAACAATGATTACAAGTATTGAAAATAATTTTCTTCTTACCAATCAAATATTTAACCTTTCTAGTTCGCTCCACAATTAAATGGCTCCATTTGCAGCATACTGTAAAGAAATTTTTTATATTATAAATTACTGAATTTTCTGTTGGTTTGCTCGATGATTATGTAATTGGCTTCACTATCAACACAACATAATTAAACATTTATAAAAATATGCAAATATCATTCATCCCATTGTTATGATCCACATTCAGATGCTTTCACACTGATTTTATTCGATATAGTCGAATGGCTTATACCTTGAATCAGATCAGTCTCTGATTCAGAGAAAAAGCCTCAAACAATGAATAAAAAAGCAAAAGTGAATCATCCTGAATCGTTTGGGCTATTAAATAGTGAATATTGTTTTCTGAAATATTGACAAAAAACTAGTATTAGATAACTTCCACCAGAGAGCAAACGAGAATCTAACATAATAGTTGACTGATGAATGTCAGCCAAATAAGCACTGAAAGATAATCTATATTGGAAAAAACATTTCATCTTTCAAAGTCTTGTGCATATGTTTCTCTTTTATTATATAACGAGAAAAGGACATGATTTGTTTAAACAGACTTACCTTTGTAGCAGTTCACTAAATCATCCAATTCATTTATCAGACCAAAAATGATGAGCAAACATTCCTCTGGAAGTTCATTGATAAACATTGTACAACTAACGCTTAAATCACTTTTAAATACAAATGATCCGATCTAGAGATGAGATTGATTCCAACAAATATAAACTTCAGTTATCTATGCAAAATAACATATAATTGGGAAAAATTAAGGAGTTAATTAGTAAAAACAACAGAAATAACACTTGATTAAATGACATTTCAAGAGTTTTGAATTTGAGATTTCTAAATAGAAAAAAAGCTAAAATGAAATCGGATCCCGGATCCGATATTTATCTACCAAACTTTGCTCAAATCAATTTGTCAAAACTGACTTATTGAAAAATGAGCTCTAAAAAGTCAGAGCCTTTATTAAGAAACTTTTTAACTTATTGACCACAAATGGTCTACTTTGAGAAAATTTTAAAAGGCTATGCAAACGAAACTTTATCACTTTTCATTTGGTGTATGAGAATAATTCACCTCAATAAGAATCAAAGCATTAGAGTTAACTTCTTCATGGTACACTTAGCATCTTATTTCAACTAAATTTTTCAAATTACGAGCTTTACATCTTATCCCTCTAATTAGATTGACACTGACACTTACACTGATATTCAGGATCACAAATCTTTGAGCATTACTTATTATTGTAACTCTCCATCTTTGAATGGAAATGGACATCGTTTAGTTTTAAACAAATTTTTATTGAAAATTAAAATTCAGATTTTATAAATGCACGATTCGATTAAATTTTATGAATCTATGATATTTCTGTGGAGAAAGCGGTTGACGGTCGTTCAGCCAATGTAAGCTTATTACTTGAATTAACGCTTTTGAATAATGCATCATCCAAACCACTTGGAGGCTCACATATTTTTTTAATCCAATAATAATTTTCTAGTCTTTCATTGTTATAATTGATCAACTAATGCGTTGAATTTATATGTACAACAAGTTCCTATTAAGCATTTAAGTTGAAAAGCTAAAAGTGTCTTTCATTTCTCAGCCTTGGTTAGCAGATTATAATCAAGCTTGTCAATATTAGGCTATTTGGAGCAACTTGGCATATTTTGAGCTACCATATGTAGTAAATGATCATTTTGACAGTGCTAAAACTTACTGAACATTTTTTGCAGTATGGAAATAAAATGTTTGGATGAAATTTCAGACTTTTGATTATTTTACAAATTTACTAATATTACTAAACAAAGATGATCGATTTCACAGGCAAATTAACTTTTGAACGAATGCGCGAACTGAAGAATTGCAAATAAAGTGATACAATGTTACTGAAGACTACTTCTAGGTGTAGGATGATACTTTTTATCAATAATAGTCAACAACGAATTCATATCAAAGCAAAAATATCAGCGTGTTTAAAAAAGGTGTTTCTGTGTTTCTTCCAATTTTGTTTTCTTTCCAAATATCTTTCTTCTCGGTCAAAGTAAGGCTTTTATTTTATTTTGACAAAACTCTTGATGTCCATAACTAAAAAAGACGTCGTTACAGACGATAATAATATTGCTAAATCACAAAAAATGATAAATAAGGAAATCTATAAAAATTCAACTAAAACAATCCTTTATCCTTCAACTAATTACTAGACGTTCAATCGACAATATAAATTCAATTATTGATGAATTTTAATTGTGCAATGATAAAATTATAACTGTTTTTATTGGAAAATGAAGAGTTAATCGTTTCATTGAATAACATTCACTAAAACCTTTAAATCAATTGAAATTGGAGTCTATCATTTAGTTTAGTTTTGGCCTCTTATCAACCAGTAATTACTCGTCAACTTAGTGTTGTATAACTTAAGTATTTGTATTTAACAATGAAATTTAACATCCCTTTCAACGGATCTTTGAGATTAATCTATCATAATCGTTCCAATGAAAAACAGCAAGCCCAATCCACATTTGACGCCTTTAAAATCTTAGGATCAATCACGCTTGGGAAAGTACCGATTGAATGGATTAGAGGTGATCTCGATCAGAGTGACTTTTGTCATTCGTCCATTTGTTCAACACCTTTTCTTCAGTCAATTCAATCTGGTCTCAATGATGCTTCATTCCCTGCTGAAACATTGGATCGTTTTTCATTGATTGCAGAAAATATGAGTTTCAGTTCAATGATGTACACTGATTTCGTCAATCTTTACACTGAAACTGCAGTTAAATCAAAATATCCCGGAATCTTGACCAGTTTCCAAATAATCCAACTCAATTTTTACATTTTAATTGGTTTCTTGTTCACCCTGGGAGTTTACATTCATTTAGTTCGTGAGAAGAGTTTACCTTGGCCTTTCAAAGGTATAACAAAACACTTGATTGTGGGCAATTTGGGATCATAATTTTAGTCATTTTTTATTTTGCCGTCCATTACGTCTACGAATCATTACGCTCTTCATTTACGACAAACTATTCGCTTCAATCTCGAGATGCACCTTTGGTTTATTTGGATGATCTCAACAAGTCAACTCAATCTGTAACTACCGTTCATGATTCTTACTGTGATCTTAAGATGACGGATAATTCACTTTTGTCAAGTCATATTCATACGATTGAGATTGCAAAGTATTTCAGCTACATTTATGACCATTTATTTGATGATAGAATCGTCCGTTTTGGATCAGTGAACTCAATTGAGGGTTACATAAGAATATTTTGCAACTTTATGATTAACATCAAGAAAACTGACAAATTTTATATTCATGTTAGTAACCAGCGTTATTTCAATACTATACGGTTATTGGTTCATCACAAGTTCATCGAGAAAAGCAAGAAAATGTTTTACAACGGGCAACTTATTCTTGCGCTGAGATGGGCTTTTGTCTGGACGGAATAGATCGGGCAGTCAGAGCGGTTCTTGAAGAAAGAAGCAAATTATACAGCATCGAAAGTAAAGTTAGAGCTGGTTACGTTATCTTTTGAAAGCTATCCAATGTCATTTCATCCGATTGCATTCATCACGATTTAAGATTTACTTTATTTATTTGTTCTCCTCGTGAGTCTTTCAAGTTTTGGTTTAATCATAGAATCAAACGATAGATGGAATAATATCAGCAAAATCAAGGCGATTTTATCGAGAAAGCGGTTGACGGTTGTTAATCCAATATATTAGTTGAAATAGCGATGCTTTTAAATATACATGTAGCCATAATATGAAAATACTCTTTGACAAATCCAGCAGTAATTTTAGATTCTTTCATTGTGAAATTGATCAACTAATGCGTTGAATTTATATGTACACCAAGTTCCTATTAAGCATTAAAATTGAAAAGCTAAAAGTGTCTTTCATTTTTGCATCTTGGGGTTGCATTTGTCTATCATTTCGAGTTTCTCAAAATATTGGAAAATTATAATATTTCTACTCTGTGATAAAAGCCATGAATTATTGCTTTTTAAGATTTTATATTTTGACCAATGTAACGATTTCTTCGGGTTTTACTTTTTCACAGATTCGATCAGAAGTCACCAATCTATGGTAATAAGATTATTACAAGATCAATATTAAGCAAACTACATTGGAATTTTAATCAAAATAAATTTCCTGTTGATTTGCTTAATGATTATTCAATTCCCTTCAAAATCAACGCAAGGTAATTAAACGTGTTCACGTTTAATCAAATATGTTCAAACGTTCAATCAGACGTTCAAATCATAATATCATCACACCCATTTTCAGATACTAAAGCACTGAAGAGATTAATCGATATGGCTGAGTTGGTTTAAACTTGAATAAGATTTTATGATTCTGATCAACTTACTTTTTGTTTAAAACAGTCGTCATAGTACTGAGCAATATTGTTTATTAAAGATATCAATATTAATAGATAAATGGTTACAGTTATTATTTAGTTCTCATTGGGAATTAAAAAAGTAGAAAGGCTACGAAAATCTTTAAGAAAACAATTTTTCATGAAATCAAAACCTTGACTTATTTTTTCACGCTTGGTTGATAAATAAGGCCAATCTGATTGGATATCATGGTAATTATCATCAAAATAAAACTTGATTGTCCGTCCATGTAGTCTATTATAATCTTGAATGTAATGTGCAGCCTCTTGAGTGACTTTTGGACATTCACAAACAACAAATAGCACTAAATTGGGTAAAATGCGAACCAATTGCTCCACATGTTCATTTTTTAGGTTCTTGAAGCTCCGCAGTGCAAGATGTTTAAGATTTGGATATTTCATGAACAAGCTTCTAAATTCATTCCAGTTGAAACTGTCATAATCAGAAAGATACTGTGCATATACAAATTAGTTGATTAATACAGATGAATTCAGACAATTTTTTTAAGATAATACTCTCTTATTAGGTTTGATTTGGAAATGCAAGAATATTTCACAAATAAACTTATTAATTTCAAATCGAATGATACTTACAAATTCTAAGACTAAATCTCGCAAAGATTCGTGTTTACATGACTCATCAACAAAAATGTGGTGGAATCGCAAGTAAATATGTGCACTTTGAAGATTTGGAAACGAATCCATGAACTTGAAACCATAATAAATGCCTCCATACTCATTAGGAACTACATACAATTCAAGAATTTTAAGTTTTCTCAATTTGAGGCCATTGTAGTAGCCATCTGTTGCACCTAAGCATGAAAGATAAATGTTCATTAACAACATTTTTTTAAAATATAAATATAATCACCATAATCAATGTGTAGTCTTTCAAGATTTGGAAAATTATGTGCATTTTTCGTGAATTTATCTAGTTTACAATTCCACAGCTGCAATTGTTTGATATTGACATCTTTCTTTGCGATGTAGTGATCAATGTAATAATTGGTGGAGACCATTTCGAGTTCATCACAGTATTGGAAAATCAATTCTTCTCGGAGATAATTATGTTCATGTCGATAAATTAATCCTTTGCAAGATTTTATATTTTTGACGAATGTAGCGATTTCTTCGTGTTTTACTTTCTTACGGATTACAGCCGAAAAGTCGGCAATCTGAGGTAATAAGAAATATAAGAAAATGAAAAGTTGGCCAACAATAAAGGTCTCATCATTCAACAAACCATTAGATTGGGAAATAAAATGCTCAAACAAGTTCCATCGACTGGTTCCTCTGTTCGATAATAAACAATATCAAACGGGTAATTTGGAAATGGTCCATAATGCCGCCTATCATTATGTTCTGAAAATATAAATTGCCTGAATGAGGAAATTATGCATTCACAACGAGAATAAAAAATTATAAAATTTGTTCCTTACCAACCAAATATTTAACTTTTCTAGTTCGTTCATTAATTAATTGGCTCCATTTGTTGCATACTGTAATAAGAATTTTTATTAAATTACTAAATAAGTAAAATTTGTGTAAGTATACAGATATAATACTTCAGACAGATGTATCTATCATGTAATCATCACATTTTTATAGCCATATTCAGATGTTGTAGTAATCGATGTAGCTGAATTACTTGAATTACTTTTAACTTGTTAGATCAGAGTATTTGATTCAGTGTATCTCGTATTTAGACAAGAAAAAGTCTCAAATTGCGAATAAAAAAGCAAAAGTGAATAATCTTGAATCGTTTGTGTTTTACATCAGATCTTTTAAAGTTGGCTGCTGCTAGAACATAGCTGTACATAGAAGTATTGTTTTGCGTAATGTGATTAACAAAAACTAGTATTTGATAACTAAAAACTAAGAAACAAACAAGAATTTAACTGAATAATTGGCTAGTGAATATCAGTTGACTAACAACTACTAAAAGCTACTAAAAGATAATCCATGGGCGAAGATCATTAATGAGCTTTCCAAAGTCATTTGTCTATGTTTTAACATATAACGTAGTTAGTAGAATACATTTTCACTGGCCTCGGTATCTAATCGATATCACTTTTCATGAATCATGATTATAGTTAATATTCTATTAATTAAAATCAAAAAGAACAAGATTTTCTTGAAACAGACTTACCTTTATAGCAGTTTACTAAATCATCCAATTCATTTATGAAACCAAAAATGGTGAGTAAACAATCGTCTAGAAGTTCATTGATAAGCATTGTAAAATCTACGAATGGTTGGACCTAAAAATCACTTTTGAATACAGATGATCGGACAGAGATGTAATGGATTCCAACAAATATAAACTTTCAATTATGCATAAACATATAAGTGGGAAAAATTGAAGTAAATCAGCGATGAAAAACATGAACACCAATAATTATCGATATATTCTGCCTGTAGCGATCATCGATTACCAAGAGCAAACATCGATGTTTTTTTATCTTTCTAATTCTGTAGCGATCATCGATTACCAAGAGCAAACATCGATGTTTTTTTATCTTTCTAATTTTGTTATGTTTTCGGCCGTTTTATTCTTCAATAATTTATTATTCAGATTAAATTATTAAAAATTTTGATAAGTTATGTTAGTAAAGTAATATTTCATGAAGAGGTCGGGAAATACGACATTTTACAGAATGGAAATAAATTAATAACTTGATTCTCAAGCGTCAAAGGCGTTTTATTCTCAAAGCACTGTGAATTCACAAGTACGGCTCCAAATATGACTGATTGAAAATATTGTAGAGACTTATTAAAATACCGATACATGTGTCCATTTGGTTATTCAGTCCTCACCAGGTACTAAGAAAGTAGGAAGACTATTAAAATCTTTAAGAAAACAATGTTTCATGAAATCAAAACCTTGACTGATTTTTTCACGTTTAGATGATAACTGAGGCCAATCTGATTGAATTTCATGTTGGTTCTCATCAAAATAAAATTTGATCGCCCGTCCATGTCGTCTATTATAATCTTGTACATAGTTAACAGCATTTTTATTGACTTTTGGACATCCACGAACAGCAAGTAACACTAAATTTGGTAATATCCGGACGAATCGCTCAACATATTCATTTTCTAGGCTTTTGTAGCTCCACAGGGCAAGATGTTTAAGATTTGGATATTTCGTAAACAATCTTTCCAATTCATTCCAGTTGATATTTTCCTTCCAATAAGGTTCATACTGTGTATATACAGGTTAGTTAATTAATGTAGATGAATTCAGATACTTTTGTCATGCTGAACATTGATTATTGTTAGCACTTTGGAAATAAATTGTAAAAGTATTTCACAAAAAAGCAAACACATTACAAATCGAATAATACTTACAAATTCTATGACTAAATCTTGTAAAGATTTGTGTTTAATTGATTCATCAACATAAATACGATTAGATTCAAAGTAAACATGGGCACTCTGTAAGTTTGGACATGAATCCATGAACTGGAATCCATAATTAATGCTTGTATCAGCGTAACAAGTGAAGAACAATTCAAGTATTTTAAGTCTTCTGAATATGGGACCACCGTAGGGTCCATCTTGGCAGCCTGAGGATGGAAGATGAATGACTATTATCAAAAATTTGTTCAAAATTCAAAAAAATAAAATATAAAAGTATTTAAAAATTACCTTCAGCATTCACGCATAATCTTTCAAGATTTGGAAAAGCATGTTCATAATCACTGAAGCTATCCGATACAGTAAAATCCTTAATTTTCAACTGTTTGATATTTGCACAAGTCTGTCCAATGAACGCACCGATGACATCGTAGGATAGCATTTCGAGTTCAACAAAATATTCAAAAATTGAATCTCCATAGACAAATTGATGAATTAATCCTTTTAAAGGTTTTACTTTTTTGACCAATGGAACGATATCTTCATGTTTTACTTTTTTACGAAATCCTTTAGAATATTCGATAATCTATATTGAAAGGTATAATAAAATGAATAGTTGACCAACAATAAAAGTTGAATTATTCAACGAACTATTAAATTTGGAAATAATGTGCTCAAAAAAGTTCCATCGATTGGTTCCTCTGTTCGATAATAAACATGATTCAGCGGATAACTTGGAAATGGCTTCCTATCTGGCCAATCACCTTCATGTTCTGAAAATATAAATTGTTTATAATTAACAATGAGAACAACTAATGATAGTAATGCGAGTCTTACCAGTCAAATATTTAACTTTTCTGGTTCGCTCTGCAATTAAATGGCTCCATTTACGACATACTGGTATAAAAATCCGTATTAAATTACTAAATATTAATAACATTGTTTCAAATATAAGCAATCTCCAATTTCAACAAAACTTAACTAAACATTTGTAAAAGTATGCGAATATTAAACTTGAAAAGTCAATATATTCAGATTAAGTCAGATATATTTTCATCACATCGCTATAATCTATTCAGATGTTAGTGTACTGCTTGTGAGACTTATCAATGTACCTGAATGGCTCTCAATCGTAACAGGTCAGGCTCTCGAATACAGAGGCGTAACTTACTAGAAAAAGCCTGAAATTATGAATGCAAAAGCAAAAGTGAATCATTTTAAATCGTTTGCGTTATATAATACATTCAGATCCTATTGAGGTAACTGCTGCTAGTAGATGGAAATATTGTTTCATGTGATATTTTATAAAAAAACATTGATCCTTTTTCCGTAGTATTTTGACTATGCTGCAAAGAGTGAATAGCGTTACTCTTTCATTATTTGTGTTGTTTTATTTAATTTTATTAGATAAACCAAAAAAGAAAATGATTTGTTTAAAACAGATTTACCTTTATAGCAGTTCAATAAATCATCCAATTCATTTATTGAACCAAAAATGATGAGCAAACATTCCTCTGGAAGTTCATTGATAAACATTTTGAAATCAATAATGCTTAAAAGCCTGACTAATCACTTTTAAATACAGATGATCCGATCTAGAGATGTAATTAATTGCAACAAAAGTAAACTTTAGCAGCATTTATTTATGCATAAACATGTAATTAGCAAATTGCAGTATATTAGCGATAAAACACACTAACAGCAAAGACACTTGTTTGAATAATACTTAACGTTACACAAAGATTTAAGATTGAAAGCCAAAAAGTAAGATAACAATGAGATCGCGAAAAACTTTGAATTTAGATTTAGCGCAAGTGTCACTGATGATAAAGCGCCATCTATTAAACACTTGTATAAGTGACACATGTTAAGCTTAGCGAACTCTGAGGCTTGTTTGACCCAATTTAAGAATAAAACACAAATGAAGCTTTTACATGAAACACTCAGATCTCATAAATGGTTACAAGTACACATAACCTCTTCTAATGATCATTAATCTCATGAAGATCCGCATTGACATTAAGACAGTTTTTCTTAATCAAATCAAGAAAACAAGTTAGTTAAACGACTAAAGTAATTGAATTTAGATCACAATCAATTTTTCAAAATTGACAGTAGGAAAAATGAACTTAACAGAGCCCTTGGTTCTGAATTTTCTGAACTTATTGACCGTAAATGGCCTGCTTTGAGAAATTTTTATCGTAAATTAAAATTAAGTTTTGATAGCTGCACGCCAGGTTGCATTGTAATTATAAGATCTTCCAAATTGATATCATGAATACATATTGTGTTTTGAATGTTATTTAGTCCTCATTAGAAATTAAGAAAGTAGAAAGTCCATCAAAATTTTTAAGAAAACAATTTTTCATGAAATCAAAACCTTGACTTATTTTTTCATACTTGGTGGATAAATGAGGCCAATCTGATTGAACTTCATGGTAATTCTCATCAAAATAAAACTTGATTGATCGTCCATGTTGTTTATTATAATCTTGGACATAATTAGCAGCCTCCTGAGTGACTTTTGGACAACCACGAACATCAAATAACACCAAATTGGGTAAAATGGTAACCAATTGCTCCACATGTTTATTTTTCAGGCTATTGTTGTTCCTCAGTGCAAGATGTTTAAGATTTGGATATTTAGTGGAGAGACGTTTGAATTCATCCCAGTTGAAATCAGAAAAATACTGTGCATATACAAATTAGTTGATTAATACAAATGAAATCAGACAATTTTTTTAAGATAATACTCTCTTGTTAGGTTTGATTTGGAAATGCAAGAATATTTCACTAATAAACTTATTAATTTCAAATCGAATGATACTTACAAATTCTATGACTAAATCTCGCAAAGATTCGTGTTTTAATGACTCATCAACAAAAATGTGGTAGAATCGCAAGTGTATATGTGCACTTTGAAGATTTGGACATGAATCCATGAATTGGAAACCATAATAAATGTCTTCATAATCATATCGATACAACATCAATTCTAGTATTTCAAGTCTTCTCAATATTGGGCCACCGTAGTAGCCATCTGACCAGTCTGTGAATAAAGGATGATGCCCATTAACAAAAAAAATTCAAAATATAAAAATAATCACCGTTATCAAAATAAATGTGCAGTCTTTCAAGGTTTGGAAAATAATGTGCCTCTTCCTTGAATCTATCTAATTTAATATTCAATAGGTGCAATTGTTTGATACTGACACCATTCTTAAAGATGAATGAATCAAAGTAATTAGTGGAGACCATTTCGAGATCATCACAATATTGGAAGAGGGTAATCATTAAAGTATTGAAGGATTATTCCTTTGCAAGATTTCATATTTTTGACCCATGTAACGATTTCTTCGTGTTTTACTTTTTCAATGGATGTACCAGAAAAGTCGACAATCTAAGGGAATAAGATGTAACAGAATTAATATTCAGGCAACAAGAGAATTTCAAACATTCAACAAACCTTTAAATTAGGAAATAATGTGTTCAGAAAAGTTCCATCGATTGTTTTCTCTGTTCGATAATAAACATAATCAAACGGATAACTTGGAAATGATCCTTGGTTCCACCAATCATTATGTTCTAAAAATAAAAAATTGCTTAAATTAACAGATTGATTCATAATGGGAATGAGTAGAGATGAAAACTCTTACCAACTAAATATTTAACTTTTCTAGTTCGCTCCGCAATTAAATCGCTCCATTTGTTGCAAACTAATAAAATCATAAATAATGAAACATTTGTCAAATCATGTGGATATTATACAGCAGCAATCAATTTTAAATCATGAGTATCATATAATCACCACATTGTTATAATCCATATTCAGATGTTTTAGCAATGAGATTAATGGCTTTAGCTGAATGGCTTTAGCTTGGATCAAATGAGACTCTCTGATTCAGAAGTGTTAATACCTAGAAAATCCTATAACTATGAATGTCAAAGCATAAGTGAATAATTTTGTATCGCTTGTGTTATGCATCTTGATCTTGTAGAGTACTACTGGCTGCTGCTAACTGTTAGTACTAAGAAATATGATTTCGTGTAATATTTTTGAAAAAACCTGGTATTCGATAACTCATAGCTAGTGAACAAACAAGAATTTAACTGAATAATTGACTAGTGAATATCAGTTAACTAAGCTACAAAAGATAACCAACAGGCAACATCCATTCACTTTCCAAAGTCGTTTGGCTTTGTTGCTATTTTATTAGATAAAAACAAAAATACACTGCATTCGGAAAGTTTAGAGATCGCGCGTTTAATTGATTAACTCTTAGATGCATTGTTAACTAAGGGAATTAACTATGGCAATCAATTCCCAACAGCATTATATTGTTATTCAATTCACAATTCATTGTTTCAATTTCTTTGTTTTGTTTAAATTATTGATTAAATATAATAACATTGCAATAAATTTCCGGAAAGTTTAGCGATTTGATCTTTTTGTTGGCGATTAGGTGAGTTGAGGCTACTTTTTTTAGATTTTTTTTAGTTCTTGACCAATATTTATGCAATTAGTTTATTTGGATTGATTTTTAGACATGGGGCAAAAGAAGCAACTAACTTCGGAGGAGAGAGCACAGATCGATATTTTAAGATCAAATCATCCCGATTGGACCCAGAAAAAAATAGCAGAGTCAATCGGACGAAGTCCAGATACTGTTGGACGATATTTGAAAGATCGAGAAGGCTATGGAAGAAAGCCTAGGTCAGGCAGGCCAAGAGTTACAACTGAAAGAGAGGATCGCATGATAGCGCAAAAAGCTCGAACTGGCCAATTCAGCATAAAAGAGATCAAATCTGAGCTCAATCTTACTTGTGGCAAAACAACCATTTGGGAAAGATTGAAATCAGATGCAAATACCGGATATGGACCACATAAAACGAAACCCCCATTGACTGCAGCAAACAAAAAATTACGCTTGGAATGGAGCAAAAATTTTATTTCGAAGCCTGATGAGTTCTGGCAAAATGTCGTTTGGTCTGACGAGAAGAAGTGGAACTTAGATGGCCCTGATGGATGCAAAAATCTTTGGTTTGATTTACGGAAAGAGAAGCAAATTTTCTCGAAGCGTCATAGTGGTGGAGGAAGCGTCATGACTTGGGCTGCATTTGCATTCAATGGATGCGTACCGATAGTTTTTTGCACTCCAAAAATGGATTCAGAAGCTTATCAAGATATTTTAGCTTCGCATTTGCTACCTGAAGCACCTTTAATTACTTCAGGAGAGTGGACTTTCATGCACGATAATGCACCACCCCATAGGTCATTATCAACAAAAGCATGGTTGGAGGTCAATGAGGTCAAAGTTATGCAATGGCCAGCATACAGTCCTGATCTCAACCCCATTGAAAACCTTTGGGGGTGGCTTGCTCGTAAAGTTTACGCTCATGGGCGACAATTCAGAACTTTGGACGAATTAAAACTTCAAATTGTCCAAAGTTGGTCAGAAGTTCCAACTGAATTGACTCAATCACTTGCTTCATCTTTAAAGAATCGACTGATAAAAGTTATACAAAAAAATGGTTCATCAATCGACTATTAAGCTCATAATTGTTGATTAATTAACTAATCTCTAAACTTTCCGAAAATCTTTCCCCATGTTATTTATTTTGATAAACGCGTTACCGGCCTCAATTCAATTTTCTGATAATTTAGTTGATGCAATAGTTAAATAGCATCATAATCTTGTATTATTGAGTTCAATCGGAAAAAAAATCATTCTAATGCATAGTTTAATCGAAGTTTGAACGCAATCTCTAAACTTTCCGAATGCAGTGTATAAAGATTTTTTAAAACAGACTTACCTTTATAACAGTTTACTAAATCATCCAATTCATTTATGAGACCAAAAATGATGAGCAAACAATCGTCTGGAAGTTCATTGATAAACATCGTGGAATCTTCGAATGAATAAAGTTTATTCAATAAACCTACTAATCCCTTTCCGGATTCAGAGGACCGATCTAGAGATGAAATTGATTCCAACAGATATAAATTTCAGTTTGTTAACTATTAATATGTATTAACATACAATTATGAAAAATTAAAGTAAATTAGTGATGCAAAATGTAACAGCACAACACTTGTTAAATGATATTTCAAGTTACAAACGAGTTATGAAAGTGAGATTCCAAAATAGAAAAAAAGCTAAAATGAAATCGGATCTCGGATCCGATATCTATCTATCAAACTTCGCTCAAATAAATGATTAAAGTAATAGAATTTAAATTAAAATCAATTGTTAAAAATTGACCGTTTGAAAAATGAGCTTTCCGAAACTTTTAAACTTGTTGACCAAAAAATAGTCTGCTTTGAGAAAATTTCCAGAGGCTATTCACAGAAAAGTTTCTCATTTGTGATCGACAAAATGTGAATAATTTACCTCAATAAGACTCAAAGTATGAGACCCCTCAATTAACAATTACAATAGATTGTTAGCATCTCTCTTCAAATTTTCACAATATTATGCGTCTCATTGATTTAGGATCCATAAATATAGCTTTTTATATATTGAAGGATCTTGATTATCAGATTTGTCAGAAATACCACATGTTTCACTTTTTCTAACATCACATTTAGCATATTTTTAAACAAATCCTACTGTAATTGAAAATTCAACTATATTTACTCTCCATTCACTCATTCTAACTCGTAAATTTGTCTTTAAAGTGATCGGACCCATTTTAACTTCATTAAGCCTCAATAGATGTGAAATAACTTCAATTCAATCAGGAGCATTGAACAATCTTGTTCTCCTCAAATACTATGAGATCACTCGAAATGAAAAACTGACAAGAATACCGAGATGCATCAACTCAACAAATGATAGATTTTGGTACTTGCATTTGAGTGATAACAGTTTAGAATATATCTAACTCAATATGTTTCAAGGTATGTCATCTCTGACCGAATTTAATTTATCTGGCAATGAATTAATCAGGTTAGATAATGAAATCTACAAAAATATCTGGCCTCAGTTGCGGTATTTCAATGGTAAATGTTTTTACGAAAGTAAATTTAAATTAATCTCGTTGTCTGGTCTGCTCCAACAATTTGCTTTTTCTCTTTACGGACATAGGGAATCGATTATTCTGTTAAAATCTCTGTTGATCTCTTGTACTTGAAGTGGTCATTGTTAGATTTACAAACAAATAAATAATGATTATACAAATTTTTATTCAGAATTGATAAAAGCGATAGATTCGATTGAAATTATATGAATCGGTCATTTTTACCTAATGTTCTTCCTAATTAATATCGTGAATGCATATTGTACATTTAAGATACTTATAGATGAGTATGTTCACAGATTATTCAGTCCTCACTAGAGATTAAGAAAGTAGGAAGCTTATAAAAATCTTTAAGAAAACAATTTTTCATGAAATCGAAACCTTGACTTATTTTTTCATACTTGGTGGATAAATGAGGCCAATCTGATTGAATATTATGATAATTCCCATCAAAATAAAATTTGATTGTCCGTCCATGGCGTCTATTATAACATTGTATATAATTAACAGCTTTCTGGGTGACTCTTGGACAATCACGAACATCAAATAACACTAAATTGGGTAAAATGCGAACCAACTGCTTAACATGATTATTGGTCAGCCTATTCCAACTCCTCAGTGCGAGATGTTTAAGATTTGGATACTTGATAAACAATCTTTTAAATTCATTCCAGGTGACACTATCAGTATCTTTAGGTTCAGACTGTGCATATAAAATTAGTTGATTAATATAGATGGATTTAGATACTTTTTAATGATAAAATTCTCTATTATCATCATCAAAATTTCAAGAATATAACACAAATAAATTCGAATCAAAAAATACTTACAAATACTATGACTAAATCTTGTAAAGATTTATGCTGCAATGATTCATCAACAAAAATGCTATTATATTCCAATGAAATAGCCGCACTCTGTAAATTTGGACATGAATCCATGAATTGGAAACCATAATAAGTGCTTCCTTTAAGCTCTTCTTCCCATAAGCTCCCATCGGCTTTGGAAAATTGAACTATTTTAAGTCGGCTGAATATGGGACCATCGTAGTAGTATCTTAGATCTGAGAATAAAAGATGAATGTCATTATCAAAAATTTCTTAAAAAAGTATCTAAGTCACCTTCTTCTGTATGCAGCAATAATCTTTCAAGATTTGGAAAATAATGTGCATTTTCCAAGAATGATCCGCAGATATCATTAACAAGGCACAATTGTTTGATATTGACACTATTCACATTTGTGCATGCCTCAACGTAATCGGTGGATAACATTTCAAGTTCATTACAATATTGGAAAATTGCTTCTTCTTTAGCAAAAAAGATATGCATTAATCCTTTTAGAGATTTCATCTTTTTGACCCATGTAACGATATCCTCAGAATTTGATCTTCTCCAAAAGTCGTCAGAGAATTCGACAATCTAAGATAATAAGATATATTACCAGGTACAGAATGAATATTCAGTAAACAAATAAAAATCATTCAACAAACCTTCAAATCAGGAAATAATGTGCTCACAAAAGTTACATCCATTGGTTCATAGGGTATTGAATAGTAAACATAATCAAACGGATAACTTGGAGGTACTTTATAACACCACCATTCATGATGTTCTGAAAATATAAATTGCTTGAATGAGAAGATTTATTCATAATGGGAATAAGTATTGATAAAGAGTCTTACCAAACAAATATTTAACTTTTCTAGTTCGCTCTAAAATCAAACGACTCCATTGACTGCATACTGTAATGAAATTTTAAACAAATTACTAAATTTTCTGTTG